TGCTGTACAGATATGGCACCAACGAACTCCTGGACCCAGTAACCCATAAGGAACAGTGTTGGCGACTCGTCGTACCGGAGGAGCGTCGATCACGCGTCATGCAAGACGCTCATTGCGAACCATCGGCGGGACATCTTGGTCGCGAGAAAACGTACGATCGCATCGCCCGCGAGTACTTCTGGCCAGGTATGTGGTACGATGTGCAGAAGTTTGTGCAGGCATGCCAACCATGCCAGCGTTACAAAGGTGAACAGGACGTACCGAAGGGCTTGATGAGCAAACGAGTGGTCGAGCGTCCGTGGGCAGTCATTGCCACGGACGTAATCGAACTACCTCGTAGTAAGAACCGGTATAAATACCTGGCGGTATTTCAAGACCTGTTCACCAAATGGGTAGAGTTCAAGCCACTCACTGTCGCTACGGGAAAGACCTTGGGGAATGCCCTCGAGGAGCTAATCCTTTTCAGATGGGAGATTCCCGACTATTTAGTAAGCGACAGTGGTAAGAACTATTGCGGGGCCGAATTCAGGGGCACCCTCAAGGAATACGGGATTGAGCATGTACCCTGCCCACCCTACCACCAACAGGCCGACTTTTGCGAGCGGGCGATCAAGACGCTAAAGACCATGATCTCGATCTTCGTGGACCACGACCACCGCGATTGGGACAAACACCTGCACGAGTTTCGACACGCGATTAACACGGCCGTACAATCGACTACGAGGGTATCGCCCGCGTTCCTGAACTTCGGAAGAGAACCACGCCCAGCCAAAAGCTTACGAAGGGAGGTGGAAAAAAGAGGACCGTTCGTACGTCTTACTCCCGAGGAATGGGCCGACCGGATGAAACGCCTAAACGCATTGCGGAGCCTCGTGCTTAGGCACATTGACCAGGCGCAGAACAAGCAAAAGAGGCATTATGACCGAAATCGTCGGTTTGCCCAATTCCAGGAGGGCGACATGGTGTGGCGAAGGTCGCACACCCTCTCTAACGCGGCGAAGGGCAGAAACGCGAAGTTAGACCCCTCGTACATCGGGCCGTACAAAGTGCTAGAGGTACTGTCCCCAGAATTATATATCCTGACAACGGACAGCAAGAAACAGGTAGATCGCGTACATGTAAAGGAGCTAAAACGGTATGTTCCGCCGCGAAGAGAACCCTAGAACATAAGAGGGAGGAAGGACACTAGCTAGGGAACCCTCGCAGGTCACGGCGCGCGCTCCATTTCCTTCCTCCTTTCCCGAAAAGTACCCTTTATCGCCACGATAGGTCGTTGACGGCCAAGTGGTTTGAGTCGTCGATCCGCTCAGTGTTGCATGCTAACTCCCGTACTAATCTGGTGGAGGGTAGCTTCAGTTCGATTAATCTGGTCGCGAAAGGGGTACGGTGTGGGAACTTTACTCTGTCTTTGTCTGTTTACAGGAGGTTCTCGACATGAGCCTGGAGGAGGAGATTGGCCACCTTCAGGCGCTGGTGGGCCCGACTCAGGGGCGGGAGGCGATGGCCCCCGCAGAGTCTCTGGGAGGGTCGGGGGTAACTGCAGCTGGCAGCCATGCCGCTGCGGACCTACCACCCGCGGACCCCCCCGAGGTGCGGGGGCTCGCCCCTCGCCCCGGGCCTGACGAGCAAAACCCTGAGGGGGAACCCGACCCTACTCTTGGGCCGGCCGTGGACGCGGTGGGCGAGGCCAGTGGTGGCGCGCCTTCGGCGCCGCCGGCCGCTGTTCCTCTCCCGCCGCATCTGCAACGGCAGGCTCGGGAGCAGCGGGAGAAGGAGGCTCTCAAAGCCAACCTCGTCCCGCTGGAGTCGGTTCCCCACCCGGGTCGGGCCGAGTGGGACAACCACCTCAACACCGGCCCAGCTCGTCAGGCGCTTCCGCTCCAGCAGGCGCTGGCCAACTTGGTTTCCCGAGCACCGCGGGCCCGCGCTCGGATTGGACGCGCCTACGCGGGGGTGGCCATGGGCCTCCAAACCGCCCGCACCCGGGGTCTACAAACCCGCATAGAACCGGGCACCCCGGGTTTGCGATTCGGAGCGGCCAGGGAGGAGGACCATGGCCTCCCACCGACGGTCCGGGAGGAACCAAAGGTTCCAACACGCGCCCCGAGGCGGGAGGTAGAAATCCCCCTCGAGGTGCAGTTCCTTCCGGCGTCGGGTGAGCCAGAGGAAAGGCCACGCAGGGCGCTCCCGCCGGTGCGGCCCGGCGGACGGGGTCTTTTCCCCCCCGAGGGATACCAGGATGAGGACGTCCCCGAACCCTCGAGGAAGAAGAAAGCTGGGCGGCTTCCCAACTTCTCCACGGACGTAGAGTTCCGCTACGTCGGCGACAGCCCGCCCTCGCAGAAGACCCCGACTGCGAGAGTAGAGGCGACAAGCCGGCGTGAGGCGGACCGAGACGCGTCCGGAGGGGTTGGGCAAACCCAGACCTCGGGGGCGGAGCCGGTTCTCCCCGAAGGGGTGAACCTGGACAAACCTGGCCCCATGGAGGTGGAGGACCCCGGGTCGAACTCACCTCCGGGACCGGGTCTGGCTGGTGACGGACCTGCGGTCGGAGGGGAGGCGTCGGGCCAGACGCGTTTGTGGCGCCCGTTCATCGACGACGACGGCGTCTTCTGGAAGGTGTACCCGGACGGCCGTCGTCGCCGAAGGACACGGGCTGGAGCCAAGCGCGGTCCGGCCAAGAAAAGGGCCCTTCTCACCGCCAACTCGGGTGCGTCGGGAACACCCCTCCCCGCGTCGACGCAAGAATCTGCCATCCCACGGCCGGAGCCCCAGTCGGAGGCCACGGCAGCGGCAAAGGCCGAACCAGCACTAGGCCGAGCGCCGTGCCGGGCCCCACCGCGCTGGCAAGCGCTGGAGCATTACGCCGACCGGATGGTGGAAATCACCCCCTCCACGTCATCGCCACCGGCGTCGATGGGGACGTCGCCACCGCCATCGGCGACGTCGGTGGCGCGGTCGTCGGTGCCCTCGGCAGCCATGCCGGCAGTGGCATCGGTGGCTTTGCCATCTTTGGCGCCTCCGGAACCATCGACGCCGTCGTCTCTCTCTCCTCGATCGATTGCTCTGGCATATCTTGCCGGGCTGTCGATTGGGGACCGGCTGCGGTTCGTCGCTGAGGCGAGCGAGCTCTCGCAGCCTCCACCCCGTCAGGAAAATCAGTAAGACGGGGAGGCGACGAAGTAAGTTATGTTTGACTCTGTTCTTCCTTTCTTTTTGTTTTGTTTGCATTTGGTTTGTTTCTCCTTTGGTCTATTTCAAGCTGACCCTCTCCCTTTATCATCATAATCCTGTAAGATTATTTTATTTGATTTGATCTAATTAAGTACCCTCCCAGCTCGAGTACGGCGCCCGGGCGGTGAGAGCGGGGGAAACAGCCCCCGATCCTGGTAAAAGGATCGGTTGCTTCGGGGGGGCTGTGACGGAGAATCACGGCTCGACCGTTGCTCTCCGCCGGGCTCTCACCGATTCCCCGTGTGCCTCGCCGAGCGGGGAGAGTGCGCCAGTTGAGCACACTCTAATTACTCCGTCTCGCTCTTTTCTTTTGAGGTGCGACGGCAACGGCGGCGATTGGAGGGAGCCAACGAGGAGAGCGTAACGAGAGAGAGAGAGACAGAAGATAGGGGAAAGCCGGCAAGTCGCGGGCAGGCCTGCGCGCGCATCTCGCCGGCTTGAGGAGAGGAGATCGGCAGTGTCTGCTGAAAAGTCGTACGATCCGCCGCGCGCACACAAATTTTCCGAATTACCTGTTTTTTGTCTGTGAGTTCCCGCGCCCTCGCCGAAGATTCGAGACATATGTGATACGTGCCCGGTGCGCGGAGTGTTTCGTTTGAAGTTTCTTATAAATTACGAAGCCGGCACCGGTGCACGTGGGCGACCGGCGAGGTGACGCGGGCGTGTGCGCGCGTGCGGCCATCTTGGTGAGCTGGTGAGTGCGAGTCTCGCGCCGATTTGTTTAGCTGGGCGAAACGAAGCACAACGCGACACACATATACACGCACACGCACACTCCTCGCAACCACAGCAGACGAACACATTTGGAACATACTAACAACAGCCACAACAATAGCAATAAACGTAGCAGTAACAATAACGATAACAACAACAGTAATTTACCAACATTAACAACGACACCAACATTCACAATCGACAACAACACCGTAGCAAGTGACGAGGGAGAAACGAGGATACAAAGGAGAGCGATTGCCTAGATATCTTAATTGTATTTGCAGAGCATTTTGGGAGACGAGCATAGGAGTACCGAGGCGGACAACGCAGCTAACGCGAGGCAAGGTCGGTGTAGTGTTTTCTCCTTCTCTCTCTCTCTCTGTCCGAGGCGTCGAATAAACACCTCGCAGTTCGGCAGCCCTGCCGATTGCGAGGTCGTTCATAATTGTGTCCCGGGCCGTCTATTTTATTTTATTTTATTGTAATTTTCTCTTTTGTACTTCGGTTTTCTTTAATTTGTAGTTTCGCTTTATTTTATGATTTTCTCTTTATTTGTATTTCTTTGTATTTCTTTGCTTATTCGCCTTAATGATTTCGTAATTTCTTTTTCTTTGTATTTTCTTTATTTCACTTTGTTAACCGATTATTTGATTTGATCCGATTATTTAATTTCATGTTGGCTTTAGTTACTCTTTTATTTTGTCATTAATACAATTACTATTAAAGCTCGTTGTCACACTTACTTCCGCCCCTTTCTTTTTTCTCCCTTACCTATGTCGTCACTCCCATCCTGAATATAACGGTTCGCGTACGATTAACGCGCGTGCTCGGCGCGTTATTTAACCGCGGGAACGATCTTTGCTTCCCGAATCCCCGAATAAATAATTTGTACGGACAGTCACGAGCCATCCGTTGAGGGACGACTGGATTTCACCGTTACAAAGCATAGTTTATTACTTTGCTTGGTATGGTTTTTTAAAATTGAAATTGTTCTAATTCATGTAGATATTCAATGTAAATATAATGAAAAAAAGAATAACCAGTTCCATATCTTTTCATATTTAATTACATAGTATATTTTGTCAAAAAATACATTTGGAAATTTTAATTAGTAATGATTGATATAATTTGTTTCACATTCGCGTCACTTCGTTAATGAATTGTCTGGCATTATTAACAGATAAATGCACATACACATGGCTAGGTACTGTACTCGTATTCATTATGCATTCCCCTTTGTGAATCCCAATTAAAGTATGCTCATCTTTCATCAACAAAGGACTGCCACTGTCTCCCTGTAATATACGAAGCAATGTTATTTTTAAATCAATTTTCGTTGTTTTCAACTTGTACCCACTTTTGTCATACGAGCATTAAGTGAAGTGGAACAAAAATATCGGTTCGGTCTAAAAAGCTCACACTCATTCGGATCCATTACAAAAAACTTTCCAACCCTTTTATTTCTTGAAACTATGTCATTTTCCATCCTGCCCCAGCCTCCTGTCATTACTAATCTGCCAATGAAATTATCGAAGGACATATATTTTATTGTAGGTAATTCAATATCTGAACTCGCAGCATTATGCAACTATATAATAAAAACAAATAGAACATCTAACTATTTCTAAAGTTACAACATTAAATGATTAGAAAATTTAATAGACCTTTACGATAGCCATATCATAATTAGCTAATTCATTGACTGGATCAATTGCCTTATTGAGCCATTCATGGTAAGTTTTCCACCATTCTATTGTATGAAGCTTAGCTAATCTCAAATTATTTGATCCTATTCTCACAACAATTTCATGGTAGTTTTGTCTGAAATTAAAGCAATTCGCAACAGTCAAAACATGTTGGGTAGTTATTAAAGATCCTCCACATAAATGATTATTTTCTTCTTTTCCATAATTTGAAGATTTATTCCAGCCTATAGACACAATAAACAGCATTTCATATATAGTTGCAACTTGCACATCCGGTTCAGGTCCGATCAGTGGAGTCGCTTCGTAAAATGGAAATGGAGTAACTAAAATTCACCACTATATTTTTGGAAATGTTATTTATACACAAAATTAACATTACTCTTTGACTGACTTACTTGTGATAAAATAGAGGTGCATAATATATTTAAACATCTTTAACAAGCTATTCATTCCGTGGTTTGATGCGAACGACCACTTTTGTCTGAGTTGTGTTGAAAACTGTAATTTTGGAAACACGTTATACAGAATTTATTAGAATATGCTAAATGTTTTAAAGCTAGGCAAATATTAGTCAAACCAATGGGATTATCCATTGATAAGAGTTAACTATGCAACAAAAATTAATAGCAAAATGCTTTTGCCGAACACGACGCATTAATAGATAATAAATGTAATAAATTAATAGATAATAAATGTTAAATAACATTCATAACTGAACGTTATTGAACTTTGTTATAAATTTCTTATTTTATTTCATTTTATTTTATATTTCACAAGTACTTTGGAGACTTCAGATTAGTTGCGAAATTCGGATCCAAAATAACTGATGAATGCATCGTTTTATATTGAGACAAACAGCGTTATCCACGTTTAGAAAATATTATTTACTGATAAGGCGTTCAACGTGACATTTATGATTTTAGTAACTGCTAAGTCCATAAATAATATGAGTAAATAAAAAGCCAAGGTTAAAAAAAAATAGCTATCAAAATGAAAATCATGTCTAGGCATTTCTTTTGTGAAATATTGACTCAGGTGAGTCATCCTAAAAATCTTTTAATATAAAATTAATGGTAAAATTTAATTTGTTGAATAATTTTAAAAAATATCTCAGTTCTAAATCTAAAATTGAAGAGACTTAATCTTGATATTTTATTTGAATGAAATACTTGAAATATTAACTTATTATTTGGGTTTACCGTCGCAGACAACCGGTTAGTCTGTTCTATGTAATTAAAGATGCAACACATTTTTTAAAAGCGTAAATTGGATTAGCCAGTAGATTCAAGCATTATTTTGATTGAGGGTATACGAAGGGACTTGAAGAAATGAAATCATAATGCAAGGACACAAGGATACAAATCTTGTGTATTTATGTGTAATTTGTAATGGATTTTTAATCCACTTTTATGACTATTAGACTTGCGTATTTTTATTTTTATTATTTTGAATTTTTCGCCGTAATTCGATTGGTAACATTATGACTTCGGCCTTCCTGGGTACAAAATAGTGTACGTACCACGACCAAGAAATTGACTCGACTTTACCTCAATTTTCACTATGGATTTGCCAATACTTTCACGGCCTGAGTACGCAGTTTACTATTATCGGTACGGTAACGATGAGCCACTAGTACATGATTTATAGTTATTAACGGTCCTGTGCAAGTATAAGCATGATTTTCTTGTACAGTTTTCATAGATTTATTTAAGCTAATGGACACGACGAAGGGAAATTCATTTTAATCTGTTTTTTAACATTTTCATGGATCAATAGACTTCCTTCGTAGATTATATACTCGTACTTAGGATTTGAAGTTAATAATTCGTGATATTTTTTAGCGTATGATTCGCGTATGAGTGAATTTTTGAATGTATAATATACCAACGAGAAATTATGACTAACAGAAATACTATTATTCCAATGTTATAGCTTTCCATTAACACGATTTGCTGATATTTCTGAAACTGGAATTTCCCTCTGAAACTTGAAATTATACACGCGCACAATGCAATAAATAAAAGGCAAAGCATAATAAAAGTTTTTGTCTTTTGAAACAGATGATATTATTATTGTGCCATTAATATTATTGTGAAGTATTTGGAAATTTCCAGAAGTAGCATTAAAGATTTTTAGTAATGACATAAAGCTACATCAATAAATTTAGTTATTACATAAATAAATTTAGTTATTTCTTTGAAACTATTACAAGCATGCAAATACAGCGCAATAGCAATTTTTTTCAAAATTCATCGGAACTGTGCCTCTTCTTCAAGGGAAGCAAAAACGACATATCAAAAATGGTCATAACTTAGGTTTAAATCAACTCATCGTCTTAAAATGTTTACCATTTCTAAGTTTTGGAACGATAATAATAACTGCAAAGTTTCATAATCGTATCTGGAACCGTTCGACCGTAGTAGCTTCTAGCTGAGAGAGCTAAAAAAGTGACCACATACGAACACACACATACATACACATACATACATACACACACACACACGAACATTTTTTTTCGGATCCGGACATTTTATTCGTGATCAACGACCTCGAAAACATGGAAAAACATCAAAATTATGCAATCGAAAATTTTCACCATTACAATGCTTTCTCTTCGAGAAAGCAAAAATAAAAATAATAGAAAAAAATAAAAGTTTTAATTAGCAACTAAACAAGAAGTTAAATATTTATGTCTATTCCTAGAATAAAGTCTGATAAAACATCTATGACATTTATGTTCATGTCTTTGAGAAGAGGAATTATTGAGGTAGGTTCGGATTTAGTTAATCTTAACAGTTCTTTGAACATTTTAGTTCTTTGTTTACATAATAGTTCACAGCGCCAAAAGACATGATCGATGTCCTCTTTTTCTTTCCCACATCGGCACATATCAGAACTTACAATGTTGAATCTGAACAAATAATAATTTAGTGACATATGGCCGCTTCTTATATGATTTAACGTAATTATTGATTTCATTGGCAAATGAGAAACACAACATTAAAGCTTTTAAGGTTAATTAAACACGATGGCCTTTTTACGCCGAAAACCGGAACGTTAGAGTCTATACTAAGTTGAATGTGTTGTATCATGTCTAATTCGGTTCTCCTTGGAGGAAGTTCGTCTAACAAGACATATTTCACACAACCGCCACGAAGAGTTGGTACATACACACCTGGATGCAAGCACCACGAACAACCGAAGTAACCATTGTACTGAACAATGCCCTGCATGGGAGCTCGGGCACCGGAATCGACACAACAGCATAATGTATGTATCTTCATGTTTTGCATGGTATCGTTCACTTTGACTTGGATTCCGATGGTAGATAATCTGTTCATCATTTCTACGCATGGTTGAAGGAACACATTCATATCTGGCTTGACTTTACCGAACCACAAACCACAAGTCACTGTTTTTGAAGTTCTAACATTATAAGGAAGTTCATTGATAATCATTTGGACAGGCCAAATTGAATACTGAGAGCTTTCAAAAACAGGAGCTCCGTCACTGTTGAATGTGGCTGTAACAAAGTTCTTTCTTTCGTTAGGTGGTAAGGATCTCACAAATTCTTTGTAAAAGTTTCCATCACAAAAGTCGCTGATTGTATCATATTGCTGAAATCTTTTTTGTATAACAGAATAAACATGCTCCCAGTTTTGAAAAATCAAGTTGCTGCAATCATTTGCCACATCGAAAACTACAAAAAAATTGTTATAGCAAGGACTTTTCAAATATATAACCTTCCGACAAACGTGACACAACATTTCCCGATCCTGTCTATTAAACTGACCAACATAACTGTAACAATTTATATCCGGGCAAACAGCATGGTATTCAACACCTTTAGATGAATTGAAAATTTTATCGACAAGGTATCTACTTTCCGGTAAAAGTTTCGTCTGTAATATACTATTGACGTATTTTAATAGATCGGCTAAACCAGTCTGACACAACTCATTTTTAAACCCAAATTTTAAACCTCCTAACATCAATTCAGCCTTATTTACGGTCACTGTTAACGTCACGTTCTCATCGCTACATAAAATGTTACGCAGTCTTGCAAACGGTTCTTCTTCTTCAGTTTCTGTATCGCCGTTGTGTTCTTCATTTCTATATTCTCTATACATTCTATCCTCTTCTTCGGAATCATCGTCTTCAGTTTCTAAATTTGAATCGTCTGTTCCAGTTTCACTCTAATGAAGAGAATAAATGTTTTATCATTCGGTGTAAAAGTAATTTGATACAGTACATAGAAAGTATATTCCGCCAAGTCGTAAACTTTTGCGTACCCAAACCAGGGCAAAAATGTCTTTGCTAGAGCACCCTGAATTTTTTTTTCTTTTCATTTGTCAGAAATAGAAATGAAACATATTCGTAAAAATTATAAAAGTTCGCATGAACAATATTTTTTCAGCATTTTCCATTTTTTTATTCGAATTTTTTTTAAACTGCTCGAAAATTGTTCTTATTTCAAATGCTTACTTTTCTACTTCCAAGATTGCTGGAACTTTTTTTTTAGAAAAGATTTTGTTGAAAAAATATCAATCCCGCCAAAATATATCATCAAGTTACTAAAAATTAGAATGACTTTATTTGCGAAATAAGTTGATTATCATATAAAAGTACCGAAAAAAGTGAATATAAAGTTTTCTCATGTTCGTGAGTATTTTTGATCTCTATATACCCTAAATAAAAGAGGAAAAACTTCCGGGAGGCCTAGCAAAGAAAAAATTTTTGCGTCGATTTTGGGTCCGCAAAAAATGTAATTTTTCCATAGATTTACTCATATACTCTCTGACAGACAGAAACACAGCAAGGTATCAAAAATTAATGTTTTTATATTCACGTAAAAAAAATTACAGGTAGTTTTACCTCTTGTGGTAATTCTTGATTTACAACATCCATGTTTTCACTGTCGGTAATTGATCCATTACGAGAATCAGATGACGGAGCGTTGTTGGATGTTGATGTTGAGTAGGTTGAGGTTGAAACTTGACCACTATGATGAGTAATTGTAGATTCTCCAGACGTAGATGTGTTTGAAAACCGAGCTGGTGTACGATTATATTCCTATACGTATTAAATCAATTGATAAGTTTTTAAAAGTTTCTGTATGATGATTATAACTGTTTGATGAAAATTGTTCATTGATATTCGCCTGGATATCCACCTAGGAATCAATAAATGATTCAAGCCTTTATTTACACAGCGTTTTTGCAAGCAAATAGGAATATCCAGGTAGAAATCAATGAACGCTTGCAATCGAAAAAAAAAATCATTTTAAGTTGTTCCTTGCAATGTTGCAAGAAAAACAATCGAATCAATGATCTTCTTAAATAAATTACAGTCCACTACAACCATTTCTATTGCATTCATCACCACAACTATTTATAATTCTATTTTCATTTCTCATCAAGCCCCATGTTAACTTTTCATTGGAATGGATAGACGTGAATAAACCTCGTTTATTCCCAGTCTTCAAATTAAAATCCAAATCCACATCTTCATGTTTTTCACAAAAGTATCTTCCACAGTAAAACTAATCATTACTATTATTAAAACATTCTAGTTTAAGTGTGTAAAAAAAACTTTTTAAAATCCCTTATTGCAAGTTATAACCGGGTAGTATGCATCGAAATTTTATGAAAATTTGGAGCAAAATCTTTTTGAAATACATGAATTCATGAAAATATTCAATACTCACCCTAAACAACCTATCCTCATCTTCATTACTACTAGGTTCATAATTTTGAGCACGCAATCTTTTGTTGTGTCGCCATTCTGTGGTTCTGGATCTTCTCATTTTGAACTTATAATTATCCTGATACACGTACGTCTGGATAATACGTCAGATGAAATTATGATATCTGTAAAATTCAAAACGAAACATCTCTTTAAATCAAACGTCTATAGGCAGCCAATGATCATCGAAAATCTAAATGCTCGATACTTTATTTACCTGTTAGATGATGCAACTTCCCACTTGATTTTTCCGTGCCGGCTGGCTCAATGGTCACTCACCGTTTGTTACTGATGTGACAGTTTATAAATATTTCATACTAATGGAAATTGATATGATCGATACTTTTCTCTCCTTGTAGCGAAAAATATCATTTGTCACGTTAATGTTATAAGGCCATCCGCTCAGAGAGTTGTTGATTTTGCGTTTGATTTTTCGGCAGTTGCGCAACCTAGCCTAACCCACTCGACATAGCTGACGCGATCCGGCAACGTGAACACTGATCCAGCTATACAAGACATTCAAATTCTTGTCTGCATCGATTTTTTTTTAACAAGCGCGCACTGAGTCAGAATGTTTGAATAAATCAAAATATAACATTAATATCGAATAGGAATAGAAGGTTATGCGGGTACGAACGATAAATTAATAACGAGAGAATTAATATTTCAAGATTAGAGTTCAATTCTCATTATTGGTTTTTTAGCCTCGTTTCATTCTTTTCTATATATATATATATATATATATATATATATATATATATATATATATATATATATATATATATATATATATATATATATATATATTCGTAGTTCGTTGACTCAAGTTATCAGAACAAATGGTAGATAGTTACTTGAATTTTGAAATAAGGCAGAGCCATCTAACCCAAGATAGAAGTTGCTTGGCAACCAAACATTTTTTTTTCATCAAAAAGGTGTTTTAAAGTGATCATCTCTTTTGATTTCTCACTCTTCAAACTTCTTTTGGTGATTTTGTGAAAGAAGACAAGTTTAATTTATTCCTGCGATTTATGTAGGTATGTATAACTTAAATAAATAAATAAAATGTACCTACATATTTCATATCATTTTGTGAAATACACACTTTTTTAAATTATCAGCGATTTGACATTGTGTTTGAAATTCATGATGATTCTTAAATTTTGAAGATACCTTCTTCTAATTGTCCTTGTGTAATGATACAGGTTCATCAGCCATGGCAGAAGGAGAAAGTGAGAAAATCCTGGCATCCGTACGTTACTATGGAGATGAGACAAATACAGTTGCTATAGTTGATCCAGCCTTAATACTTGATTATGCATCGATTGAAACATTTAACTTTAATGTTCCACATCTTATTCATCGAATCAAAAATGGTGAAAGAATTACTGAGCTAGTACAAGTGTTTGCTATATCAGGTGAAGAAATATGCATTTATAAATATTCATCATATCAACATTAGATGTGCTTCAGAGGAATTGAATATATCTTAAGTTCAATGTTTGTTTTGTTACTTTATATTCTGAATGATAAGTTCTGCCTTCACATTTCACACAGATAATGTAAATGAACTCATTCACCCTACAAAGAGGAGAGTTTTTGACAAGAGAAGAAAGAGTGATGTGATGTATGAGATTTTGGAAAAACAAAAAACAATGATCGAAACGAAAACCAAAAAATCAATCCCTAGCAATGACGACGAGCTCATAGATGAAGCATCAATCATCACAACATCTTCTCAGTCTGGAAATTCAAAAAACATTCATGAGTTGAAGGCAATAGAGAAGGTACTGTTTTATTTAGCATTCAATTTTAATTCAATTCAATTTAGAAATATTTCTAATCTAAAAAATTTTATGAATGTTGATTTTCAAAATATTTTTATAGAAAATAAAAGAAAATGCACGAGCATTTTCAAAATCATCAGAAAGTGAAATTCTTAAAAAAAAAATAGAAAACTTAAAAAAGAACAAATTAGTCTATTCAGATGGTACTGACCTAGAAAAGAAACAAAAAGAGATCAATGATCTACACATGTCCATCGAACTAAAAAATGGAGAGTTTGAACAATTAAAAAAAAACCAGCAAGAATTAGAAGCAAAGATAGCAAAATATGAAGAAGATTCTAAGTTTTGGCGAAGCAATTATGAAAAGAACCAAGAATTTATGGAAGAAAGCAAGAAACTTATTGAAACTTTGCAGAATGAGCGTCAGAATACTGCTCCAGAAACTATTTATAAATCTCATGGTAAGAATATTTACTTTCAACCTTAATACAATACGAACAATAAATATATAAAACATACATTGTTTTTTTTTATTTACAGAAACATTACGCCAAAAGAGACCACCACTGAATTCTAAAACTGCTTTAAATCTTCATGGTGATCACTCGCCCGATACATCTGCTATGGATAGTCACGGTGATTACTCGTTTCAAGATTTTCCAGGACACTTTGAGGATAATGAAGAGGAATACAGTCTTGGAATACTGGAATCAAGTCGTGGTGGAAAAATGTCAACAAATGAAAGTCTTGGATCTGGCTCAGCCAAAGGTATCAATTACTAAAACATATACATAAGCACGTCCACCCTACTATCAGTCTGTAGTACTATTTCTCTTTCTCTCTTCAAAATAACTCATATGAAAATACGACGGGCTCCCGTACTATAATTCTCAGCCAATCCATCGCGAATAAGCAGGCTTCGCTTTCTTCGGGGTCTCTATTGTATAACTGACTTCTTCCAACAAATATTTTTTTATAGATGAAGAGAATTTTCAGTACGATAAAAAAAAGGAGAGGAGTAGAAATGAGATAAACCACAAGAGAGTGAAGGAACCCCGAGAAAAAGCCATTAAGAAAAAACGGACGGCTGGAAGTGACGGATTCGATGACATGAGCGATATCGAAGAAGAGTGTGAAAAAAAATCTCGTAAGTGATTTGAAACGAGAGCATGGCTACGCTCGGTCAAACCCTTACTCGAGTCTATAGTCTGCCCTCTCTCTCTCTTTCTCTCTCTCTTTTTCTCTCTCTCTCTCTCTCTCTCTCTCTCACTGATTATTCAATAATTCGAAAATGGCAGGTCCGAAGAAGTTCAAGAAGCGATTTGTACGAACAAAAAAGTACGCAAACTTCCACAGTTCATCAGATTCTGAATGTAATGAGAAGAGAACTTTCACGCGGGGCAGTGATGACGAGTATGAACCGGAAAATCTACGGCAATCAGAGAATCATCAAAATTACAAGTCGTATTATGCAGAAACTGGAAAGAAGGTAACAACGATAATATTACGTACAAACAAATTTCTGCCCCCCCCCTTATCATATACCTTCCAGGTAGAACTGGCACGTGAGTAGGGTGCGGATTCACTTCGGAAATAGTTTGTAATTCATACGGCAAGCTAGTGCATGGAAGTTTCAATTATGTCGACGACGCACTAATTTTGAAACTTTAGAAAAACGTATTGTCCGCTTTACTATTTATCATGAATTAAACTCTGCGACGTTGTTTTGTGAGTAATTCTCACGAACTCGCTTGCAGTTTTAATTGCAAACTATTTCCGAACAGTTTCTGCAGCCTATCCGAGTGCCATTTTTTTCTGAAAAGTATATTAAAGGGGGGGGGATTATTTTTATCTGTTTTATTTTATTATATAGAGACACATGTACCACCTTATGTGTGACATAAGTATTAAATACAAGACGTGGGATACGCTGAAAAAAATTTTTGACATGAAAGAGTGGATCAGAGTATTAGTCCACGCGATGTTCAAGGAAGAAGATCTAATAGGGAAGACGTTTAATCTTGCAGGATGCAAGATCGATCGTTTACCAGGGATAACCCGATCAGAATTTAAGCGGGAGGAAAAAGCTGCTATAAGACGTAAATATTTTCGTATCACAAAGGCACTGGAATATTGATATATATATATAGCAGCTACAGCGGTTTGAATGCGGTACTTTTTTAAAAAAATGCGATTTTCAACCCGAATTAAAAAAACACCGTTTTAATTTATTTTTCAATTCGAATTTTTTTTTCTGGTAGTGTTTGACTAGTATATACTCCTCGCAAAGTATCGCTAATGGTTTTTTTATTCTCATCAAGAAATTTTTTTTTTTTAAATTGAAAAATTCTATTTTTTGAAAAAACCGCTGAAAAAACAACAAAAAATGTATCATGGTTTATTTTGCAATTAACAAAGAAAAATCATGTATGAATCACGTTTTTTTTCAATTGCAAAATAAACAATGATACATTTTTTTATTGCAAAACTGTTTTTTTCAAATGATCGATTTCAATTGTAGAAACATTTTTTTGCCGATGCGACCAAGTCGTGAAACGGAGGCGAGAAGCAGAAATGTACAAAAATAATTGGAAATCTTACATAAGCGAACATATCAACTCGCTGTTTATGAATGAAAAGGCAGAACGTAAGTTTTTTTCATAGATTAATGTAAAAGAATATTGGTAAATATATGTATAGTATAATGTAATAAATCTTCCAGGTGCAAAAATTGAGAAAAAGCAAAAAATTAAAGCAAAAGCTACAAAGGAACCTCAAGAACAATTTAGTCTGTCCTCCGACGATTCATAAAACGTTTTGTTTGCTCAAAAGTCATTCTTGCGATAATTTTGTTTGATATTATTAGTCTAAATTTTCGACCAAAATTATTGGCTAAAAGTTTTTTAATACTTCGTTTTCAAGCTCGTGATTATACTTATCTAGTAAATACTCATAAAAATGTTATTATACTTTGCTGTGATTATTATTAAATGTTCAAATAATCCACGTGGTTTCTTGTTCTAGTCCCCATTTATTGAGATGAAAACACCAAATCATCTTTGTTTGCTCAAAAGTCTTTCTTGCGATAATTTGGTCTGATATTGTTGGTCTAAATTTTTGCCTGGAATTTTCGACCAAAATTTTTGCCTGGAATTTTCGACCAAAATTCTTGCCTGGAATTTTTGGCCAAAATTTTGAAACAAATTGTCGACCGAAATTTTTGGCCAAAATTATTGGGCAAAAATTTTCGGCAAATTTTTTCAACAGGGTGCATATCACTAGTAACATCATCATTATGATTTTTCTAAAACGTGTTGAAACTTCGACAAACATCTTCGAACAAGAGGGGGGAATGATGCGTCGTGGATCCACGCCTCTGTTCCTGCTCCGACATTCGTCCAACGGCTCACGGAGAAAACCACGACTCAATAGAACCGTGAGCAAAGCAGTAAGAAGATTATATCGATCGTGATAAGTGGCTAAACGATCGATGTGAACAATTTTCTTTTTGTGTTTCGGTGTTTTCTGTATGTAATAAACAACATCGTTAATTTTCATCAAAATCTCGTACGATCCTTCCCAGTTGCTCTGAAGCTTTGATGTCTTTCCTTTGAATCTTCGAGGATTGTAAAACCAAACTTTCTGACCATCAAGAAACTGAAGGTGTCGAGCTGTTTTATTGTAGATTTTCTTCGTACAAAGAGATGAATTTCTGATGTTTCGTTTTGCAAAGTGGTGTATATTGTTGAGTTTAATCATCAGTTTTTATATATAGGCGTTAATATCCGTGGGTCCATCGTTGTTGGGTGGAGAAACACGCATCAAATCTAACGAAAAGCTAATCTCAAAATGAAAAGCCGT